ACCAATATGTAAAATGTAAAATTACTCAGAGCTCTGACAAACCTGACGTTATTTTACAAATTAAAGCATAAAATAGCTCTGTTACATCATTTATAATAGCAATTGATAATTTAAAACAAACAAATTTACAAATTTACTTATTTTTTGCTTAAAAATTTCACTTTGAACAAAATATTAAAATTTCATTGAAGTGCAAGGCATTAGTATGGCCACAACGAAATTGTGTACATGCAAACTGGAGAGCTGTGTTGTTTTGTGTACATGCCGGCCATTGTTATGTTGCTGCCCTCTCACAAACGTTCTTGAAGTAGGATTCACAACGCCATTTTCAGTTCACTGTCGTGCTGCTGCAGTCTGTCGCTAGCATTGTGTTCCACACATCATAGTTAATTTATTCAAGACTGCAGCAACTGAAGCAAAATGAAAAGAAACGAAAGCAAAATCATAAGGTATCACAAACAAGAAGGCCAGTCGCCAAGTAAGCGTTACCTAAAAAGTAACAAAGTAAGGGAAATTAGCAATTTCCCCCTGCATCTAAGTGGTTCGACTTTTTTTTTTTTAATTTGCGCTATTAATGCAACGAAAAACTGGATATTGTCATGACTTTTCTTCGGCCGGGTCTGTCGACTCATATGTTGTTCTATTGATCGAAAGAGGGTTACATAGCCGAAATAATAATATTTTATCGGATAAAAGCCGGACAATTCCAACGTCTACTTTTAAACCTTTCTAAATGTCAAAGTCCGTGGAAAGAGCATTTTCAAAACATCTTCTCGCACAAAATTTTTCATATAGAATATTCGTTTGTAGTTTGTGGTAATGCTCAAAACAAATAATAATACACTTTTTTTTATAAAAACTAATTGGACAGGCAATTTTCAAGTACTTTTTGCAAGTTTTATTAAAAAAATATTGCTCTTTTACAGAATTTAGTTTCTTTTTGAAATACATACATACATATATTCTTCGAATATTTAACATTTCAACTTCCCATGCCTATACATCCATACACATGTGTGCACAGACAAATGCATTTATGTACTTAGAGAGCATATTACTATCAATTACATATGTCGCCTAATACATGGTTTTGTTGCTGTAATATTTTTAAAGTAAAAACCGTTAAAGTTTTCAGACAAATTTTACTTAATTACTACAAATTAATAGTATTTAAAAGTTTATTTGGTTGCTTAGGCATTTCACCTGTCTTTTATTATTTGCGATATTTATTGTTTAGTAAATTAAACTGATTGAACTTATATTTTGTTAACCTAAATTTACTATTCTTTATTTTAAGGAACTCTCTAACTGTTTAGCAGCGCCATTTGTATTTCATTTCTAAACTGATTTATTTAGCATTCAAATTTAATTGACTGTTTAGAAACATTTTTGAGATTCTAGTTTCTAAATTTCTTAAATATGCAAACAATTTATGTATGTATATAATATTTAGTACTTACATATGTACCTACTTATATCATATTTCATTTAAGCAAGAAAATAGTTAAAATGAGTTTCAAAAACATTTTCATACATTTTGTGGGCATTCATATTCATAATATTGGAAACCGAATGCTTCGATGAGGCTTTCTGCCGTTACAACAACAACAACATGAGGCTTTTGTTTGGTCCCACAACAAAAGGTTGTAATCGGAGCGGATCCGGATTTATATTAGCCAAAGACTGCCGCTCGACCGCTGTGAAGTTTTTTCGGCCGCTGTTTAAATTTTTGGTTTTTTATGTAATAAGGGTATAACAAAGTGGAAGGGAATGTATGCTTTAACGTTATTACTGCTCATAAATATTATATTAAAAAGCATACATACTACATATTTTTCTAATAAAAAAAAAAAATCTTTAATTTAAATTACCGTTATAATTAATAATTTTTGTATACAATTTTGAAAACAGTTTTGATTTCTTATTTTCAGAATATTTTCACAAATCTTCAATTATTCTAGAATTTCTTCGTGACAACTGGAGCTGGAGTTAAAAAAAAAACTTCTATCAGCCAAATTAACTGAAATATGGCATGGAAATTCTTTAAATATCTCTCTGTCATATGAAGCAATAAAACATAGAAAAATGGAAATTTGTAATATTTTTAAAATTAATTCGAGAAATTAAAAAAATTAGTGAACTAATAGCTGAGATAGCGACATTTGTACTAATCAGTAATCCATCATTGTTTTATTTTTCAGATGATCTGAAATGTAGAAATCATAGCGATGAGGACACGGCCTTTTCCCCCTCTACTTCAACGACGCGTAACTCAATGAATTACTTTTTAAATTAATTTACACTTCAATTACAAATAAACAAATGATAAAAATGAGTAACAAAATATCAAATGATTTAAAAAACACTTGGAATTCGGGCTTTTGATTATAATATTTTGAACAAAACTATTTTCTGCTATTTGAAAGGTTAAGAATACACTTCGGATTTCACTACTTTATTACAGTAAATATATATAGCACTGTGATTGTTTTTAAACTGGTTAGTCCGGTCAAATAGTACATACTAGGCCGTATTTACAGTTGAAAGCCCCAGGCTTAAAAGTTAGTACTTGTTTTCAACATTTCGTACTGTAAAAATAATCTGATTCCAATTTTAATGTTAAATTGTGAGCCATTCGTTTTGGTCTTGTTTTTTGTTTTTGTTTTCAAACTTTTTTTTACATAATATTTGTACTTTTGTTTAGATCGCTGAAGCTTGATGTGCATTGAATAATTATGTATATATATGTATGTACATATATTTCACATAGTGCGAGGCAAATAGGTCCAGCAAAAAGTTATAATGTAGTATATCCATATGTATATGTTTATAATGTGAATATTTCGACTTCGAAAAAAAATTATTATTATTTTTTAATTTATTTGTCTGAAACTTAACTCCAACCTTGATGTGAAGAAATTCCGGAATGATAGATATCTATCAATACAATAGAAGAAAGACTACACACTTGAGATGACTTATGTTGCCCATTTTTTCTAACTTTATCAGTTCAAATCAAATTATCAAATTATTGATGGGGAATATTAGATAAAAAGCTATACAGTCAAATAAGCTGTCTATTAATTGTTTTTTGTAATTGCTTTCCTTTCGTTCATGACGTCACGAACCATGTTGTTTTTATACCCTGAACCACCATGTCCGTCTGTCTGTATATATACGAACTAGTCCCTTAGTTTTTAATATATCGTTTTGAAATTTGCAAACGTCATTTTCTGTCCAAGAAGCTGCTCATTTGTCAGAGCTGCCAATATCGGACCACTATAACATATATCTGCCATACAAACTGAACGAACGGAATCAAGTTCTTGTATGGAAAACTTTCACATTTCACAATGTATTTTCACAAAAGTTGACACAGATTATTTTTTAAATCAACAATGTAATCTCCGAAGAAATTGTTTAGATCGGATTACTATAGTATATAATTGCCATACAAACTGAATGATCGGAATCAAATGCTTGCATGGGAAACTTCCTCATTTGACGATATATTTTCACGAAATTGGGTATGAGTTATTGTTTATAGAAATAATGTAATATCAGAAGAAATTGTTCAGATCGGCTTACTATAGCATATAGCTGCCATACAAGCCGAACGATCGGAATCAAGGGCTTGTATGGGAAAATGTAAGATAACAATGTAATCTTCAAAAAAATTGTTCCGAACGGATTACTATAGCATATAGCTTCCATACAAACTGAACACATAGTTGCTAACAGAAATTGACCTGTGAAGGATATTTAGCTTCGGTGCAACCGAAGTTAACGTTTTTTCTTGTTGTGTCAAAGGAACTTCATAAAAGTAGCGCTATGAAATTGTCGTTATCTTTCTTTAGATTAGATCTTGGTTAAATGTGAATTGGGAAAATAATAAAAACTGTGTGCCAACATTTTTCACTGTGCTGAGTTGTGGTGAGAAAATTAAAAAAATAATTAAGATCTACACTGATATTTGGACATTCTAAGAACATTTTCAATATTATTATCAAGTTTTTTGTATTTTATTTGTAAACCTACAAATCGGCATTTGGACTTGATTAAAGATTTATTAGAATTTTATTATTGAAATTAACTCACACACATACATATGCACATGTAAATGTGTATTTGAGAGTTAATTTGTATATTTTTTGCGTTGTAAACACTGTTATTTTTTATAACAACTTATCCATCGCTTTGACAGCAGATATTCTATGAGTATGTCCTTTCACAAGCTGTTCAAGCTGAGTTTATGCATTTAAGGCGTGCTTTTCAGTTAAGCTTTAGCTTCTCTGGTGAACTAATTTGGGCGTAGTATTTAGTTTTTGAAAATATAATATTTATGTATTTAAAAATCTTTTCAAAAAAGTTAACAATTCAAAAACACAGTTTGTGGGAAATAATTTCATTTCAATTCCCTAAACTTGGTATATACATAATTATATTATTATAATATAAGTAATAGACTAATAGCATAAATTTGTATCTCTTATTCTCGTTATATGGTTTCACAGATAGTTAATTAATTTATTTATATTCGTAAATATTATTACATTAGGGTGGCCCTTAAAAAGTCAAATGAATTAGTTTTTCATAACTATGACTAATTTCTCCAAGAGTCGATGTTATGAATTATAAATATTTTTTAAATTTTTAATCTTAAATGCCGGATTGAGATAAGGTAAAACCAAAAATAGGTTTGAAAATCAAAAGTAGATAATTAAATATATTTAGGTTTATCAAATACCGGATCAGAAATTCAATTTAAAAAAAATATAGAAATTCTTTTAGAAAATTTATATTTTTCGCGTTTCCGTATTTCCTGTTCTACCATTTTCGTTATCTTTTGTAAAGGGAAACTTATTATTAAAAAATATCAACATATTTTAGCTATTTTGTCTAATATATAATTTTAATAATAATAGCTTTTAATTAAAAACAAAAATATTTATTACACAAATTTATAAATTAAAGAATAGTTTTCTAATTTTTAAGCCCAGAATTAAAAAAATTTATTTTCCTAAAAAATATTATCTCTATTTTTAGCTCAGATGTTAAAACTTTTAATCCCAACATTGGAATCAAAAATAGAAATTCTAATTATTAATAAATTTTTTTAGTTACAAAATTCGCAACCCTGCTTGAGACACACCCTAACAATCTCCAATCAAAAAAAATTATATATTTGACTTAGATTATAATGGTATCTATGTGACCTTTAAAGACTTTCCCTCTCTGTTTAAGTACCACCCTAATATATATTACATATATATCTGTTCACTACTTACATTATATATATAATATTTTTATATTATATAAATATTTTTGCTTATAGCTTTATCTCATTCCTCTTGAACTATAACTGTGTTTAATAATTATGACTTTTTAAGGAAACTATTTAACAACGAAAAAATGTGTGAACAGAATTATAACATACGACGCAATCGTGGTCTCATAAACGAGTGTGTTCGATTTTCTACCTATGCAATGGTTAAAAAAAATTTGTTCGAAATAAAATTTGTTATATTTACTACTTATATAGTCTAATTGTATGTGAAGCGAACCTCTGTCGACCATGTGAAATTATGCGACGAAGCGTTGTGCGTTACAATCCCGTACACAGCATAACAACTTTCATAAGCGACATAATTTACGAAATTACATCGCCGATTAATGGCCATTTATTGGTATTGTAGATTGTGTGTTAAACGGGTGGACTGTCTTCGTGATGTTTCGTCGTCCAAACACCGGGCACCATTGGCGGTGGTAAATTAGAGTTGGGTGCTGCCAGTTTCGTAATATTTGTAAATATTGGATTGTTGAGTGTCGGTCCCGTTGTGAAGCCTTTATTATCGACGCCATCCACCTGTGTAGCGGTCGCTCGATTGCTGCCGCCAAGCGCTTCCTTACTTATTGTACGTGGACTTGTAATGAGAGCGGTTAAAACACCACCAACAATTGCGAGTGATGCGAATGCTGTTTGCGGCACCATCATACCAAAGATCACAGTAGCGCCGATAAATGGCGCACCCAGTAGCCAGAAACGTGCCCAACATATCGCCGAGAATGCGGTGATCTTGCGCTTCTCCTCACTTACTAACTCAACGGTGCAGGTGGTGAGTATGGAGAGTGTGGTGGAGATGGCCATTTTCGAGATCATAGCCGAGAGCATGAGCAGCGCAACACGTGCATCGAACGGTACTAAATGTTGGCGGAAGAAAAGAGCAAATATGTGATTTAAAAAGTTCCATTTGCATAACAAGGCTAACTTACAGTCTGTTGGTACCAGCCAACCGAGATACGCAATCAGTCCGGCTACTACATTGAACAGACCGGTCCACAACCACTTGCGCGTAGTCTTCAATATCAGGAAGAGCCCAATGAAAGTGCCGACTATCTCACTCAAGCCCGCCACAGCTGTGTTTACTTCGAGATGCTCGCGACTGAACGAACGAATGTTCAGCAACATGCCGTAGTACACGACAATGTAAAGGGACCACGCCAAGTGTACACAGATCAAATTGCGTACGACATTTTCACCCTTCCATATTGACCACCAGCCCGGTGGTGGCGGTGAGTCCATAGCGGTTTGCGCCTGCAATTGCAGCTGCTGATCGATATCGTGCGGAAGCCCATAACGAGTGCCGTTCATCTCCACACATTGCAGGAGAATATTTTTAGCGTCTGTCACACGACCACGCTGTATCATCCAGCGCGGTGAATCGGGAATCCAACTATCATATAAAATGTATATAAAGTATTGTACGACATTCAAAGCGTTCGACAGGCTTCAACTTACCGCCACAAGTATATGAGTATCACAGTGGGCCATGAGATGGCCATATAGAGATGCGACCAGCTGGAGAAGAAACTCGCCACTCCGGGCAGTAGTATAACACCTATTGACCAGAATTGTTCGAAGAGTGTCGAAACGCAAGTCTTATAAACGCCACCCGTTATATCGGCCACTGTAGAAATGAGTCAACGTTAAAGTGATATTGAGCAACCTGTAAGATTCTTGTTAAAATTATGACTTACTTATTATACCGCCAGCCGTGTACATTTGCGCACAGCATACTGCAGACAAGCAGCGGAAGAAAACGTGTAATTCGTATGAGGCAACTAGTCCCGTGAGATTGCCACAGAATATCTGCGTAATCATGCCGAAGAGCATCACATTACGTGGACTGAAGCTGTGGCGAAAACAGTTAGTTAGATTTATCATGTAAGTATTGTTAAACTTAACATTATTAGTGTTTAATATTTAGTATGTATGATCGTAAAAGTTAATGCCGCTAAGTCAGGTTAGGGTGGTTATAACTATACTATAAACAGTGTAGCTCGTTAAATTCTTTTGATTTAGATTTGGTGGCGGTCGTTAAGTTCATTCGGGTTTCTTCAATACATACTTTATTTGTTGTTGTCCAAGACACTTACTAATTGAAATCGTGGGTTAGAAGTTGTAAATGCAATATACTGACGCGAGTAATTTGGAAGGTATCATAAATAGTTGAACAAATTTTGTTGTCCGTTGACTAGTAAACACTTCTCACCAAAACTTTATAAACATCTTTAAATTTACAAACATCTATATTTCATTCAAAAGTGATAACAAAACTTTTATAGCTATTTATTATGTGATTTTGATTCAGGTTTTGTAGATGACATACGAAATTGACTATGACACATTGGTCTTTGTAACTAAGCTTTCCTTTCTTTGCAACTAAGCTTTCCTCAGAACCTAAACTAACCTTAAAATTCTCACAATTCATGAGTTGGAAACACAACTACCATCTCTGAACGGGAACGTAAAGCGCCAAATAACAATCAAGAGACCTACAATGCTTGATATGACATTTCAGCTGAACATTTTCAATTTTGACAACAAGGTACAATTGAAATTTGGTGCTGAAGACAAACGAAACATAATAATGATTATTAAATAAAAAAAATTCAAACGCTACTGAAAGTTTGCGATAAGGTAACGGAGGTGTTGACCTCTTAAACGTCGTGAAAGATCGAAATGTAGAACTGGGGTGCGAAATAATGATACTTGTATATATTTCGAGTCATTCGCACATTTGTTAGCAATGTAGAAAAAATTTAATCTCTGTATCAGACTTTTGAGGGCTTTTGGGTTTTCAGCAGGTATTTTAATAGTTACTGTTTCGAATTATATTCTCAGATTCAAGATTGTTCTTAGATTCAAGATTCAACATTTCTATCTTAGAAAAAAAGTTTGCTTGTGTCTGTTCTTTTGTACCCTAAAGGGTTATGTTTCCCAGTTGCGGATTCAGATTGGAGAAAGGGTGCAAATTTCAATTTATAATTGTGATTTTTTGCCAATGTGATATTCTTGCTGGCAGAAGCAAAAGTCAAAAGACAACGAGTTACCGGCTACTGCATTGGAAAAGTTGAAGAACTGCGATGTAGGGCTGTACCCCATAATACGACGAATGCGTGCTCTGAATGCTTGACACATCGCTGGATATAAACGTGGCTGAGGACGAACATACTTCAAGATAGATTGATCGGCCTGGCGTTGTTGCACACGTATCATGACATTTAAGTCACTACAGAAAAAGTTCTCGAAAGATTCTCAAAATTTGGGTCACATCGTTACACGAACTGACTGCAATATTATACATTGCAACAAATTATGTCAACCACACGTTCACGATTTATAATGTGTTTTTCAATTTAGTAGGATCTGTTATTAGAAGGTCCATTTTTTCCACCATGGTATTAAACTAGGTGTTTCCCAAACCCAACTGTCGAAAGTATTTGGAGCTTCTGAGAATTTCCTTCGTGGCTTCTCTGCTTTTACGAAACTAATGTTGAGTAATATTGTCTTTAGCACAGTTTTGTTGGCAGTTTCGGAAATGATGGTATTATTTGGGCATGGCTTATTGTTTAACTGTGACTTCACTTAATCTAACCTAAACATATATTAATCTGCCACATATATTTTTGCCTAAAAAGGCTTTACTGTAAGGAAACTTTTAATTAATTTTATAGATGAATTTTCAATAAAATGTATCCATAACAATGAATAAGGCCACCCTTTGAGCTTAAAAGTAATGAGGCAACAAAAACTTATGAATTAATTAAAATGAGACCACTTACTATTTGAGCAGATGATTCGCCAATATGCCGCCGGTGAGAACGCCAAACAAATGGAAGAATTGTGTTACTGACACCAGGATGTCACGCGAGCATACCAAATCGTATTGGGTCACTACCGAATGGTACTCGGCCCTATGCTCGAACTGCTGGCATGGGATAATGTTCATATTTCGCGAAGTCGGTTCCTCCCATACGCGCGGTTCCAGTTCGGGTCGTTCATAACGGTAATAGTGATGCGCATGCTCTTGTGCATCCTGGTATATATTACAAAAATCTATACTAAATTCTTGATCTTCCACCTCCTCCTTTTGCGGATGTGAGACCTTTATCCACAGTGTGTCGTTTTGTGCGCCCACCGTATTTGGCGGTTTACAAAAGAATTCACCATGTCGCGGTGCGGGCGCTGTGAATATTATACAAGCCATAAACCACGAGGATGGTATCTTACACAAGAAGATCAGTAATACAGTACGTAATTGCCAGCGTCCCCATTCTCCGGTTATGCGTCCAACAGCATCGACTTTCGTCTTCATTTTCGGGCAATGTTCCGGTCGTTCGCCTTCGATGCTGGAGAAGAAGTCTTTTGGATATAAATTATATTGATGTGTATGTGTGGGCGTTTGGTTGTAGTGATAATTGCTATACAGTGTCGCTGTGGTGGGTGTGGAATAACTGTTATCGTTCGATTCGCTATAGTTATCGCTGTCCGTATTATTCGCGTTGTTCTCCAAATCGATTATGCTCTCTTCAGTATGACAGCTGCCATCAATTGTTGTCGATGTGGTGGTGGTTATAGTCACCGTATTACTATCAAATAACTGTAAAGATGCTACCGAACTGCGACGACGACATTCACTGGCCGGTGTGCCGTAAATACTCGGTCCCGATGAGGTGGGCGAAGCTGATGGCGCAAGTGCGTCCAGATAAAGCTTGTTAGCTGAAAGTTGCTCTCTCGAGGCGGCTATAATGTTAGTTGAGCTGTAAACGCTGTGGTTGTGATTGGGATTGTGACTGAGTGTGGCTGTGGAACATTGGTGGGTCGGTGAGTTTGCGGTGGTATCGAGGGCTGTGTAGTTGTGCTGGTGTGCTTTCGCTGATATGTGGTTAGGTACGGTGTTATTATTATTGTTGTTGCTGTTATTATTATTCGCTTCTGTTGGTTTGGTATTGTCTTTGTTGCTGGTGGGCAACAACGGCGATTCGGCCTAAAAGTAAAAGAAAGAGGCGTTTAAATTGCAGCTGGACATCAAGTAAAAAAAAGTATGAGAGTAAAGTATGAGTATAAAAAAATCGATTTTTGTTGACAAAATTGTTTTAAGCTCTCAGTTCAATTGGAAATGAACAAAATTTTTCAGAACTCCTCTCACCAAGAAAAATTATATGTCGGTTTAGCGAATTTGTGTGCCCACGGTGGGTCGTCATGATTGATAATGACTATGAGGTTTAAAAATTTTTGCGAGTTTTTAGAACTAACTAAAAACGTGGGGTTAGTTTTTACTATTATTTTTGTACTCTTAAAACATGTTGCACAGTTCACCTAACAGTTGTTTGTAACTTCTAAAATTAATCTGGATAGATTAGATTAATTTAGATGGATCAATTAAACACATCGATGAATGAGGGATGATCGATAATTTAAAATTTGGTGATGATACTCCATCTAGAACAAGTGTTTGTCGATGTTATGGTGTATTCATTCGAGATCGTACATCACTCCAAGAAGAATCTGTTGTCGTTGCTGAAACTATTGATGCTGTGTGCAAACCGATATTGCAAAATCGTCATGTGACCTACAGTGAGATTGAGATAACTATAGCCTTTAGACAATCATTTAGTTGCCAATTGTCTTTAATAAATCAGGAAAACCAACGGCCGAAGACGGATCGCGCTTCACAGCAACATGTGATGAATCATCCATTGTATAGACCTGACTTGGCACCGATTCACTTCTTTTTATTTCCATGCGTAAAAATAAATTAAAAATTCAACGATTTCCGACACCTGAAGAGACGGTTGATGCGTTCAGAATGCATGTTTAAGGAAATTTGTATTGAATTGGCAAAAGTGCTTCCAAAATGGGTTTAAACACATTCAAAACTATGTATATCTTATTGGAGAATATTTTGAAAAACAATAAAGCAAATTTTGATAATTGTTGTTTGGTTTTGTTCTCTAATCTCGAAATATAAAGGCTATGAGGGGTAAGTAGTCAAAAAGTCATCTTGGAAAACTTTTTCCCGCTTACTTCTTGTAACTACTCGACCCACTGTGCAAAATGACATGCAGCGTCTGGATTTCCCGAATTACTATCTTAAAACAAACAACGGAGAAATTCGCCAACACAGCTGCGTATTGATATTCCTTAACTACGTTTCAGTACACAACTTTAAAATTATAACAACACTCTTGCAATATTCTGAGGAAACCCAAAACTTTGCCTGCCAACTGAGGAAACAGGTTTGTGACACGTGAAGTCATTTAAATCAAGATTTGAACAAATAAGGAGGAGCTAAGTGCGCCTGTAACCGAACAATTTTTATTCTTCCCACTTACAACAATCAAAGAAAGGGAAATAAATGAAGATGCAAAACGTTAATCACGCCTTACGTTAAGTTACTTAAGCTTTTGGTGATACGGACTAACTATATTCTGTAGCAACATGTTGCAAGAGTATAAAAATTAAATACGGTTGCGTAGCGTGAAACATACAAACATAGATATATGTTTGTGTATTCGTTTGTTTTATATATGTACAGTAGATACTGCTATGTTGGTCACCGCTCAAGGTTAATATAAAAAAAAGTATTTCCACATAATTAAAACTCCCTCAAATTCGCTTATGATATATATATATATAATTGAAATACTAGGTTAGTATATGAAAAAACATATACTAAGCGAATTTCTTCCCTAAGGAATCTTTATTAAGTTTCTTGCAACACAATAAATTTCAAGTCAAATTAACCAGACACTACTGTATGTATGGCTTTTACTCCTCTCACAGGTGAGCTATTACGTGCGACATGATTTTATCCAACCACTCTTTTGAGGTCACGCACCACGCACTTTCGGCCGCCTGTTTGGTTTTGCGAAAAGCTTCTGAGGGTGCATAATTAAATTCACGTCGTCTGAAGTGTAAAGGTTGTATTGCATTGTCAACTTGTATCAAAGAAAACACGAACTTCATTTAAACATAAGCGTTTTGTGTAGTTTGATATATTTAAAATGGTTTGCATACTCCTTTCTATTAAATTATTTCAAACGTGGAAGGCATAACTCGACAAACAAAAATTATATTTTCAAAGTTTGCTATTATTTTCAGATTTATGCAATTTAGCCCAGTTTCGTCGTGCCTATGATCTCTCGAAATTTTATTTTAAATTTGAAGTTTAAGTCCTGTCATTCAAATAGAAATAAACGCAGGTAACAGATAAATCTAGAGTGGCCAATTGGAGTAGCTCCACTTTTCACTTCGTATGACTAGACATCACTGCGGTTGCAACAATATCGTATATTATGGTACTTACTCGTATAACTTCTCCAAAGAAATATAAATAGAAATAAGGGTCGAAAGCATGCGAACATTTAACAATTTTTGTTGATTGTGTGAATGTTTTTATAAGGTGCTTCTTGATGTTATTCGATAATTCGAAAGTAAAGCAGTAAAGCAGAGAACAAGTATTTTTTGCATCTCTTCTTACTGATTAAAATCGATATTATTGTTTATGTAAATGCGGTTATAAATTACTGTGTACTCGTGTTCTAGTCCTTTTTTAAACTCCTCAAACTTAAGATTTACACACATATAAGAACACACTATACATAAGTATATTAAGGCTATAATTATTGCAAAGGGTAATGTTAATGCATATCTTCATGATGCCATTGGCTTTGATGGATGACCTATGCTTAGTTGATAGTTCTACCGAACTCACCACAGAGCTTTTGGCAAAAGTAATGGATGTCATTTGCAAATTAAGAACACATTTCCTTTGGTGGTGGTTTACTCGAATTTAAATTTTGTTGATGAGACAGTCCGATCCTTTTCAAACGCATTAGAATGTGTTGGTGTATTTTATTTATAATAAAATGATGGTCCATATAAACTGCGCGTGAAAAACGAATCGGTAAAAAATTACATGTTACATCGAGAAAATTAACGAAATACTTGAAAATCGTGTTAACATCAGAGTTATCTATATTAGAGGATCTTTTCTGGATCGACTCAATACATTTTGGTTAATAGTTTGGATATGTAACATGTCAATTGGAAAAACGAACTCTAGTAGAGGTCGCAAAGAGATACTCGATGAACGTAGGCCCTTATATGGAAAATGGGCTTAGTGGCTCTGGCGTCCAATTTGAAGGCGAAAAGAAAGATTTCCGGATTATAGTTCATAAGATGGTACATGCAAGTTTAGTTAATTTTTTATTAAAAGTAGTATCTCTACTACAAACATTTTTATTTTTGAGTTTAAGTTCAATGCATTTGATGCAACCAATCAGCGCAGGATTTTTTGCACTACCGATGCTTTATGTAGAATTTTTCTCACATTCCGGATTATAGTTCATAAGATGGTACATGCAAGTTTAGTTAATTTTTTATTAAAAGTAGTATCTCTACTACAAACATTTTTATTTTTGAGTTTAAGTTCAATGCATTTGATGCAACCAATCAGCGCAGGATTTTTTGCACTACCGATGCTTTACTTGCGTAATTTATGGCTTTTGATTAAGAAAACACTCGATGATTCACCAAAATGTACATTTTTATTGACAACATGTATACTGGTAAATTATACACAAGTGCACATACATATATACTATACATGTGTGTATTTGCCGGAACAGGTTGGCGCTTTAACGATGCAAATATAAACATAAAAGCCCCATTAGCTTGCAAAGATAAACCGAAAGTTTCGACAACACTAGAATTCGCTTTTAGTTAAGCTTTCACTCGTAAATGATCAAAATGTACAGTTTTATCAGAAAAAGGTAAAAATATAAAATCTTATAAACTGATGTTGTACCTTTAATTCATAACAGTCATAATTACGTCATATGTGGGCTAAGAGGATATAGAGGGCAAATAAAGTTTCATTTAAGTGTGACTTTGAAGCAAATTTAAAGCCAACTTTAAGACTCTTAAAGTTGGAAGGGATTGCAGGTATGAGTTTTAATAGCATACAAAAAATACAACTGATCACAAATTGTTATCAGGCGGTCGCGTTCCATCATGGCCAATCTCTACAGTAAAATTTTTCAAAAGTTAAGTTTCAAGTTCAAAAGTAAATTAGTTGGTGGGTAGAGCCGTAACTTTCAACCTCAAGGGTTAATAACAATAGCTCCGTAGACCTTCGATGTTTTTGAATTTCTTTTAGCGTGGGAATGTGTCGAACGGACATTAGCGTGCAATATTCTTCTTCTTCTTTACTGGCGTAGACACCGTTTACGAGGTTATAGCCGATATAACAACAGCAGCGGCCTTGTCGTCCGAATAGGCGAAACCACTCCATCTCTGAAAGTATTCGACGCAGTACCCGCCAGGGGAAGCAGAGGAAGAGGAAGACCGCCACTCCGTTGGAAAGACCAGGTGGAGAAGGATCTGACTTCGCTCGGAACCTCCAGATGGCGCCACATTACAAAAATAAGAAACAACTTGCGAACAATATTATGCAATTTAAAAAAACAAATATCATGCATGACTGTACTGATAATAAAACATTTGCTCTCGAACGAAATAAGCAACGCAGCTTGTAGTGTTAATAGAAAGTAATAATCTAGAAAATTTTCGGGAATGGTATTATTTAAATATAAAATTTCAGTTTACTCTTACCCTAGGTACTATTCAGACTCCTAGAAACCGCTGAACTGATATGCTTGTTTTGATATAATATTTCTCACTCTATTTTCTCCTTAAAAACCTACCCAAACTCTCCTAAATTACTCTCAAAAACAACAATTGATAATGAAATATTATTAAATTTATAATACATTCAAAATTCAAAATAAAAATCATTTAGCTTTGCTTTAATACCTGACCAAAAGCAAGGGTCTAACTGAACGTCTAACTAAACGTTAACAAAACTCATTTAGTTATAAGTATTTCCTATTATCCTTTTCTGAGTGCACACAAAATTTTTATATTTTTATGGGGAGATCCAATATTCAAGCAATTCATATAACATTAAAAATGTAAAAAGGC